ACGAAGTAGGTAGAGCTAATTGGCTTATGACTGACCTGCTTAAAGAATATCAGAATTGGCTGTTGGCTATTCCTTTATTTGATTGACTAAGAATCTAGCAGCAAGATAGCAAATATGATGAACCCAATTCATTAAAGCTGTCCCCATTATAGATCGTTATACATTTTCAGTATAAAGTAGGACATACTTATAGCATGAAAGAACTATAGATATGTAAAATCATTAATCCATTGCCCACATTGTTTCCTTCTGAATTTAGACCAGAGAGGGATAGTATAAAATGGAGGAGAAAAAAACCCAGATTGTTCGCACTGCAGTAAAAGAAACATACAATATTAACTTTTGAAACAACTTAACAAGGGTTGTGTTGGATTCTCCACTACTGGCAATTTTAAAATCAAGATTGGATGTTCTTCTAAAATATATGCTTTAGTTCAAACAGAAGTTAATTCAGGGAAGTCCTATTGCCTATATTATACTGGAGATCAGACTAGATTACCATAGTGATCCCCTCTGGCCTTATCATCTATTAATGAAAAATGTGCAAAGAAGGAGAATGAGTATTTCAAAGGGACACAGTCAATTTAAAGATCATGGACTTGATTTTCCATTGCCTTGCACCTTGTGTAGTCGTTTGCACCTAGGAAAAGCGAGTGTAAAAAGGGTGCAAAGCCCTATTCTCACTCTTCCAGCCATTCATCAGGGAATGGGATTTGTTTATTTTGCATAGCAATTTATTTTTCTTTCCTTGTACGTGTGTTTTGTTTTGATTTTCTTCTTCTTTTGTTTTAAACACCAGAAAACACTTACGGCTTGCCTACAGATGCAACTGATGGCAATACTCTTGGGGGTGGGCTGGTTTGAGCAAGGTCGTAGCCAGAGGTGGACCAAGGTGGGCCGTGGTCTACCCAATAACCATGCAGATCTACCCAAATCTGAGCAGCAGGCACAGTGTTTAAAAAGGGGGGAGGTGGCTTGCAGCCCCAGGGGAGGAATTGATGTAGCCAGGTCACTAAAGGGCTTAGTCTTTTGTAAAGCTGCTCCTGCCTCATACTGCACCACTTCCCCATCAATACTGCCCGCAATTCCACCCCACAATACACAACTCCAGTTAGTGAGTGACAGAGAGGTGGCTGAGCCACAGAGTAGTGTGGTGACCCAGTTCACAGGCTCCTACTCTCAATCCCAGACTCCGCGCTGTTCACCATTGGCACAGGCTCTGGCTCCATCCCATTCCACCCAGCTCTGGTTACTTCCTCCCCATTGGCAGAGATACGTTCTGCCTCTGCCCACTGCTGGGGAAGGGGCCTGG